CATCTTGTGTTCTATAATGGGTGGGTGCATGAATGTCTGGGAGTTGTAGGCATGTAGCTGAAACTACATTTTCTACCGGAAACGGAATCAGATCATGTTTTTAACACAATATCATTCTAAATAACAAAACGGGATACATATATCTAGACATTTCATTAAGTTAATATATTATCTGATAAATTATATTTCACCGTCAAATCAGCTGCATTTCATTGGGGCGGTGCTGCGAAATGAAGCTAATTTGACCATTGAAGTCCAAGACACACCTTTGCTATAACGTATGGGTTTTTTCTGGGTATTCCGGTTTCCTCCCACAGACCAAAAACATGCATGTTAGGCTGCCTTCAGGCCCAAGCCTCCCTTGCAAAAGAGATCCATGATTTCAATGGGATTTGCCTGGTTAAATAAAGGTTAATAATAATAAAAATATAATAATAATAAAGTCGAGCAAACAAATAATTGTTTAGGTGCTTGCCTTGTTAAATTTTGAAGAAATGCACAGCGAGTCCTCCCGTGAATGCACCTACTTCTGCGTATCGGCCTTTGAAATGCAGCTGATTTGACCGTCAAAGTGCATTTATTAAGCAAAACAAACTGAGTCACACCTTTACTATAATTTTGAGCAAACAAATAATTGTTTTTAAGTGTTAATCTTGTTAAATTCTTGTTAAAGCCCTCCCGTGCACGCTCCTGTGGCCGCCATTTGGCAGCCCATCGATTTTTGGCACAACACCGGCCCACATTTCCGGGTTGTCAGTGGTGATGGTAACAAACGCAACGCGTCAGTGGTGACGCATAATAGATGCGACTTATACAGCGAAGCGATATATTTATGGATTTTTCCACTTCATTAGACATATTTGGACTAAGGCAACTTCTAAGGTGTTCGGACCTGTAAATACTGTTATTTTGTCAGGTCTGGTGGGGTTCGGAAATGAAGGCTATGGGCTGGGGCCTGGTCAGGTCAGATTTTTTGGGCCCAAATGCAACTTTACCCCAGGTGCCCTAGGTGGCAGTTCTCTATACCACATGGAGGGCTGACGCAGCTCTGCGGTTGCGTCAGAAGGGGCATTTGGCGTAAAACATTTGCCAAATCCTTGTGTGATTTTCTCCTGTGAGGCAGCCATGCCAAAGTTGATGGGGGAGAGGGCAGGCCCCAGAAACCATCTTATCACCAGCAAACTGTTTTTTTCCCCCACTATGGGAGTGTGCTGCTTGTGGGACTCAGTTTGCTTGTGGCTCCTTGGACTGATGAAGTCCTTTGGATGAAGGACGAAACGTCTCAGCAATTAAAAAACAATAAATAAATAAAATGTCCAGATGACCTGACTGAACATTGTTGGATTTTTATCTGGATTATTGAACATGAACTTTTGTTTTTTACCATTTCAATAACAATACTATCAAGAAACCCTATAATAATTCAAAGCAATGGTAAGATTTGGTGGAAACAAAACAATTTAAAACATTCTCCATGTTCTAAGTTCTAACCCATAGCTTTGATTTGAAGCCCTGGACCGCCCCTCAGCCAACCCCAAAACAAACAAAAAAAAAAAAACCCATTAAATTAAAGTAACTTCCCTTCAGGACTTTTAATGTCTTTCAAGAGGAAATTTTAAACACATCGTCTTCAGTAAATCAGAACTTTATTCCAACATCAGGTTCTTCACATACACCGTCACAAGCACAAACACTTGCAGTTTATTCTTTTAGACCACATAGTTAAAAACATACCAGCTAAGAAAAGATGTTTCACTTGTGCTGTCTTATGTTGTTTCACATGTATGAGCAATGATTTCTGGTACTTTTATGGTTTTTGAGGGCTTGGGAAAAAAAAAAAAAGACAATTTCCCAATTCACGATCTTTCAGCTATGATACTCGGTGAACAGTAGGGGCAAGCATCAAGGACACGAAAGATCCTGACACAACTGAAACGTCAAGGACAGATTTCGTTTACATTAATCTGTGCTGACACTTTAAAAGAAGGAGCAGAGTTGTTGCACTTTTTGTCTTACGTAGTTACGTAACTTAACTTCCTGTAGTTGAAACATTAAAGATGCTTTCACAACTTTTTCCATCTTTCTTTTGCTGAACACAGAACAACTGTCTGGAAATATTAGCTCAAGTTAACAGATAAGTCGTTAGTAATGACCTTCAAACATTTGCTTTGTGTATAAATTTGCAACGATAAACACGAGGCTAGGCAAATGAGCTTTTCTATAACGTTAACATGCTAATGGTTGGTAGCCTGTGATTAAAGGGGTTTTTGAACATGTGCATTCTCTATTAGGCATTAAAAATAAATTATGTTTATTTGAAATAAGCTACAGTAATTTAGATTTCAAGACAACTAAAATGCATCAATAATAGTTGGAAAATCGCATGGCAACCCTTTGAATCGTAATCAGATCATGAGGTGCCTAAAGATCCCCATCTCTAGTGAACAATAATGTACTGAGATCAACAATCCCTGCTTTGGCATCTGTCCTACACCATGTTGGATACATAAAGACAACTCCGCATGGCTTCTCTTACAATGTTATCTCTTTGAGCACCCATAGAATGGCAAAAAACAGCAGATTCACTAGAGACTACGTAAATATATATATCTTGTTTTCAGTATATCTATATATACTTTATATTTAGAATAAATCTATATAGCATATATACTTTCGGCATTTTGTAACATTCAGGTACATTCACTTGACCCTGTTATTTATTTTTTCATCATTTCAAGAATCAACACAGACAAATGTTAACAAAGCTACATGTCGTGAAAAATGGTTACCAAAGAACAAAAGACAAGCATTCCCCCAAAACTGTGTAGACGCAAACAAACATTTCTGTACTGGCTTTTTAAAGACCAACCACAAGCACAGATATTCTCAAAGATCTTTGTGATAATCTAGAGTAGAAAAGAGCATATTTATCTGGATTTGACAACAGTTTATATGAACTCTAGTTAGTCTGGGTGCACAAAACTCCACAGGTGCATACATGTGCTTGCAACAGCAGGTCAGCACTCCACTGCTTTCTACTGAATATTTACTATAATAAAACATTACTTCTACAATCACTAATTTTAATAGACCTTGGCATATCATAGAATATACGTATAGGCAATAATTAATCAACAAGTGGAGTAATCAGACTAAAGAAAGCCTTACTGATGATAAGCCACATTACACATAAATACCTTTTTATATATATATATATATATATATATATATATATATATATATATATAT